TATATATATATATATATATACATATATATAAAAATGTACTTTCGCAAGTACTCCCTAGCTCCTGCAGGTCGCGGGGGTCCACTGTAATCCTTAGCTGAAATCTTGTGGCATCAACAGGCAATAACTGTACGGTATACTATAAACCCTCGGCAGGGTGTCAATTACTGCAGATTTTCATTATCGGCGGCATGGGTCGGGTCGTATCCCCACCAATTGGTGTGGTTCACTGCAATCATAACAAATAATGATAGTCATCATTTCAGAGCCTTGTAAACAGGTGAAAACATGGGTAGTGACCGTGCTGCTTCCCAAATGGGAGAGCACAGCACATTCTTATCAGTTAGCACACTGTGGCTTTTTATTCGTTTATCAAATACTATCCATTCCAAAGAGGTTAATGTTATCCCAATTCCTCAGGGGTATGGCAGACTGGCCATAAAAAACCTAATCAAGTCTGGTTATCTCGAAACAATTGGCTCCTTTTATTATCTCCCTGCGGGTATGTGGCGATACTACGCAGGGCGCTGAGATTTTATGATGTGTGAAAACATCATAAAAACAGGCCGGATAGTGGGTGATCGCCACAGTGGAAACTGTGCCAAACGGAATCTGACGCAGCCGCTCTGGGGTGTCTCTCACTGTGGCCCAAATATGGCGGTCTCTGTTGTCGTGGCGCCCGAGCCTCCTGACGAGGCTTTTCACACGACTGTTTTGCGTGTGGGTGTGTTAACATTTGTGGTGGCTGCAAGAAAAGGGCTTTACAATGCTTATAAATGGGCAAAGAAGCACAAGAAACAATGGCTGATTTTCTAACAAAAGCTTTTCAGCTTTGTCAGCTTGTGAGACTGCTGCTCTTTAAACAGCAGCCGCAGATGTCAAGCCTTCGGCGACATTAACGCGGGAGCGTTTCTTCATGCATTTGGAGTCCCTCCGAAGGCACATTACCAGTAGTTAATGTTTAAAACAGCGATATTGTTGTAAAACTCTTGGCTTTCACAAGGTTCGAAGGGTGCTTTCACACCTGTAGTTTGCGGTCTCTGGTCCCGCTGAGTTGATGTGTTTCCAAAGACTATATGCGTCCACTCCCCCTAAGACAATTTCAGTGGCATTCATGCAGTCAAAACTCCAAGCCTACCAAAATGCGATGTGGCGTCACTGTCCTCTCTTATGCGAGGTAGGCACATGCCGACAATGAGGCCAAAGTTGAGCATTTCAACCGCCTTCATCAACATTAGCAAAGGTCTGGCGGTGCGGGGTGTGTTGGAAGTGATCTGCGAAAATACTGCAGCCAACAACTGGTATTCTCAGTATTCGCAATGCTAAATCATTGTTAAGTTTGTTCGGCCCATCCACAAACTGATTGTGAGATGAAAACCAATTAGGAAGAAGCCTCAAGCGCTATTGCTGTGCGGTATATGTGTAGTAGATGGTGTAAATTTGGCCTACTGTATAGACTTGGACTGGACTGACCCATCACAATTACACACGTTGATGGCCTGATCAGATTTGCCTCAGTTTTTGTCACTGGACAAAAGCTTATATTGAGCAAAGCTTGTTCACTTTCTTCTTCTTTGTATTTTCTGGCCATCTGGATAACTGGTGACACCACGCTACCCCTCGCAGGTCAGTTATGGTACTACAACCAAAACCGTGAAGTACCGTATTGGCCCGAATATAAGACGGCTCTGATTATAAGACGACCCCCTCTTTTTCAAAACTCAAGTTTGAAAAAAGACTTTTTGAACACCAAATTAATTTTTATACAGAAAATAATTACAGTACATCTGAAACAAATGATTCTAACAATGTATTTGAGAGAAAAAGCATGTTATTTTGCCTCATTCAAATTGTAATATCTGAAC